GAAATTTACGACGAATTCGACTCCGATGTCTCGCGCCGTGTTATCGATCGGCGCGACTTTCGGAATGCTAAAGGGTGCGCGCGGTGTTCCACCCCAGTGATCTCCCTTTATCCGTAATACACTGGCGCTGCTTTCGGCTGGCCAATGCGTACAATTTCGATTTTTATATCAAGCAGGGTGATTCTTGCAAATCATCTCTGCATTCAAAAATTGTGCGTGTACGTGCTAACGAGCGCGCTTTTTGATTTACGACTATCGAAAAACACGCAGATTTTTACGTTTTAACAGACTGCGCGATTGCAAATCTGGCGGCCAACGTGACATCTAAATATCGCGACTTATCAATAGCAGAAAAAATGCAACAAGTATCTCTGTAAGAGAGCACGAGTTTGCAAAAAACAGAGAAAAAGATAGAAAGAAAAATGCTCGCAATACTGGCAGATAATTTCGCCGCACGGGATCTCGATTAGCGATTCGATAATGACATTTGGACAATGGACACGGCGGAATAATCATAAAGAGGATTTCATTAGTACACAATTGGCTAACCGGTTATTGTCCCTCTTTGAACGTCACGGCTGATAGAAGTGGTCGCCACTCGCGTTGTGGATAATAAGCGCATCGCGGAAAATGTTTGGTTGATACAGACAATGTGAATTGGTACTGCGAAAGTAATTAATCGAGCGTTATTTCAGTTCCGCTTGGAACTCGATCGATTTCATCAATGCCTCGAGAGACGCGAGTCAATTAAATATAATGAAATGATTGCGATAAAGCGTACGTATTCGAGAATACGCGGATTTCGTACGAAGTCGTCGGAAGAAAACACGAGACGACAAACGTCAACGTAAGCATCGCCACAGTCAGACTCGAATAGTCTTCGCGGACGCAACGAAACCGATACGAATGACACACGAGAATCAACTATAACGTATTGATCCGTAATGCGGTTTCTCCATCATTATCGGACGGCTCGTCGATTTGCCGGCTGTCAATAGGAAATTACGACTGCACGTCACGTAAATATTTAGCGATCGGACAACGCGCATTAACGCAGAAACGTTATATTCGCGAGGGTCATAAGGGATCACAAAGGGGGGGATTAAATCGTCGCGTAATTGTCGTTTTATTAATCGATTATCGCGATACCTCTTTAAACGTCACGGGTGATAAAAACGCGGGGACGCGACCCGCGCACGGATCACGGCGTGTTATGTAACGGGCAACCTCGTGGAAAATGCTGCATCGTCGAGAGGCTTCGCGAGGGCATATATATCAACGATACACATTCGTCGTTGATTATAATTTCGGTGTTCCGTGGCAGTGGTTTTGCCCGTTGTAGAATTAGCAGAAATTCTGGCTCAGCGAGCAAAACGATATCGCAGCGACAGCGCAACGCGACGCGGCGCATTAATGACACGTGCTTCGCGTAATTTCAATAGGCGATGCGGCGCGTCGCGACCGCACCCTATATCGCGATGCGTGCGTGCATGCACGCCGAGCGAAATACGTCACGACGTAATGAGCTTGCGTTGCCCGGCTTTCGATAGACAGATAGACAGAGAGCGGGACATTTATTCGACGTACCGGGAAACTTCCCTACAACTCCGCGAGCGGAGACTGACACGGATACACATGGACGTTACACATGCGGTAAAACCGCAGAAAGGATTTCGAGAAAGAACGCGCATCCTTAGAGATGTCGGTGCCGTCTAGAGTTTCCAAGACGACGACTCGCGCGATGCGATTCTTTCGAGAACATTTATGACTGTACGAAAAGTGATCCATTATTAATGAGGCGGGATAAATTGCCAAAGAGCATAACGGCATACATGTGGAAAACTAACGTTCCCAGCAGTGTGGCTTGCACCAAAAACGTGATCAACGAGCGAACATAATTCGTAGAACCTCAGACTAATGGCCATCTGTTCCCGTGGTTCAAGTAATTACAGCGGTAAAGCGCGGTTCTTAATTCCGACGATTAATCCACATTTCGCGCGGTACATTCGGAATGATTTAAGAAATTTTACGGTGAGGCAGCCGCGATAATAGCGCGTGTGAAACGTTTAACTTGCCCCGAGCGAGGCGAGCACCGCGCTATTAGACGCGAAGAACGAACGATGTTGAGAATGATAACTAATTCACGCCACGTAATCTCGAAGAAAAACATCGTGCCCGTTACACCGTTATATCGTAACTCGTGCGCATTAAATAATGTACACAATTATACGCGAAACTACACATTCTGCAGAATTTAGCCGTAGCCGCTGTCAACTTTCGAAATGCGCCCTTCACGTTCCTGCCAAAATTTGACTTGCAATCGCCATCTTTTCCAAGATAAGTGCTTCGAATAGCAACATTTGCTTTCCCTCCTTTTCTCTCTCCCCTCTCCTCTTCCGCTTTTCCAATTTTCACCGAACAAATTATAAAATAAACCAACGTACTCTTTACGATTCGTGAAGCGAATTATGAATTGCGTTCACATAGAAAGATCTATTAATACATTAGATACGTCGGAAAGGTACATTACCATTGCTCATACTATAAACACTTTCGAAAGAAAAATGTTTGTCTTCAAACCCCAGCGGGAACAGATATGCAGGTTTCCAACTTTAGCCATCTAGGTACAAAGTTCCGTCGCTTTTCGAGAGTTACGAGTTGAAAATTTGCTATCACTATTGAACGCCATGAATAAAACCTTATTTATGTCCACGTTTCTAGTTGTGCGCGCGGTTGTGTAGTAAAAAATTTATTCTCGCGTTAATCAAATTCTTCCTTTATTGAATAAAATATAACTTTTATCGACTCGGTTGAAATTTAAATCGCAACACGGGGGAAAACATCGATTTTTATGCAACAAGATATATTAATAGAGCACTCTAAATGTGCATGCTCTACGAGAGAGACGCGAGTCGGGCGCGGGAAGGAAAACGGCGAGTTCTAAACATTCAAGTTCTCGCGACTATCACTCAAATCTTTCGGCCCACTCGCGCTACTATAATAATGTCAGCTATATACTAGCGGAGCATGGTGCGGATCGACGCAGCCACTTCGGAGCAATTTATTTCGCCCCTTTCCCCCCGTCGAGATATCGTTCCGTCGCGGAAAGAGTGATGGATGTTGGGGCGTCGCTTCTACGCGAAAACGTACGAAACACGCGGAGCTCCGTTAAGGTCGAGTGCCTCGGATGTAGGACACTTTATACGCCACTTCTCTCCCCTGCCTTCCCCTTCCGTTCCCGCCTCCTTTGGTTCCAGTTCTCGATAAAACTCGCAGTCGACACGGCGTGTCCGTTTCAATTAGTTATGCGCGCGAGGGATAATGCGAGAGAGGAGAGTAACAAATGCGTTTCCTAGGACCTCGGAAAAGAAACGAAGTATGTATGTGTGTGTGTGTGTGTTTCCCCCGAAAAAAACCCTCGTTATAGTCTCGATGAAAGAACTTTCGGAAATTATGCTACTCGTGGAATTAACGGGAAACTGCTCTTGTATCCTTTATTCAGTCTTGTGGAATGTTGTAATTTCGGTAAACATATACAGGAAGAAGTTTATAACATAACATAAACCGACACTTCCGTTTATCTTTCACACTGTTACAAAGTTGAAGTTAATAAGTTTCTCTCATGGGATATCTAAAGTGAATATCGCATGGAAGTTTATGCAATCCCGGATAGGAAATAAGATAAGTAACGTTTTCACGAAATAATATTAAAAAGATATTCTTTCTTCATATACATTGAAGATTCTTATAAATTAAAAATGTATGAGTATTATCTTTTATAAAAACAAGTTTAAGCAACTATTGTTTTCGTCACTGATCAAAATATCAATAACCAATATTTAAAATTCAGTTCGACAATTTATTTATTCGTAATATCGAGATGTGAATGTATCGTAATTAGCCAGGTCATGTACATCAAAATATTCGCGAGACCAGACGAAACAATATAACATTATGAATTTCGAAACAACAATATGTATTTCGAGTAGGACAACCTGAAAGAAAAAAAATTTCTTTCGCCATACTAATAATTTTATTTCGTAAAAACGCCCAGTATTTGCATATTCAATATTCATATATTCAATGTAAAAATATTTACTCGGGTGTAGAGCATATCGTATGTGAATACATGAAAAATTTTCGCGAAATGCATAAATAACGCGGAGAGAATAATCACGGTGGAGAATCACGCAGATTCTAAATTAGTTGCGAGACTTTGAATAAAACAAAATCGCAACGCGTCATGAAATAACGCATTGAAATTTCTGCAGCTCGTTTTCGCTCCGTTGTCTCAAGTTTCGTGTTTGCGACGCGATAAACGAACTATCAACGTAATAGAATGAAATCACGAGAGATTACGAGAATGAGAATTATCGCGTTAATAATATAACCGAGAATCGCGGTCGAGATCTTTGCGTCTATTTTCTCCCGAGTCCGAATGAGAAAAAGAGAAGGGGAGAGAAGGAAAATTGTGCCGCTGATTAAAGTTTGCAATCATCGACTCGAAACAATCCTTCGTCGACGAGGGAGAATCCACTCGCGAGTGGGGAAGAAGGTGCACGACCCTGCAATCCACTCGCTGCAACTTTGCTATCATTACGTAAGCAAAGCTCTCTCTCTCTCGGCCTTCGAGAATGCGGCTTTGAACTTTGCGGAAGTCCTTAACCTCTATCGCACGGAAGTTACTATTCAATCTATGAAACGTCGCTCAATACTGACATTCAAATTCGCGAATAATCGCTAAACGTGAAACATCGAATGGAGATAACAATAGCGTAACCTCTCTCCCCGATATTCTTTTCGACGCGTCTTTTAATTATCTCAAATAAAGTTGCAACGAAATATTTCTCGGATGTCCTCGGAGGCGGCACATCTCACGATTGGAGATACGTCACGCGCGAAATGATCGTTGCCACGCACCGTCACAAACACGAGACAAGGGGAGCGAACGGAGAAGACTGCCCTGTTCGCGCGCACAAGTCACAAATCATAGCACTCACCTAGCTGGACGTACATCTTCGGCCTGACATTCTCCTGCCAAGCGGCCAGAGCGAGGGTGACCGTCGCGACGAAGCACCAGCAGGACAGCAACGGGGGCATCCTGGGGGCGACGCGGAGGCCGGCTCGCCTCATCCTTTCCTCGCGATGTTGTCGCAGCGACGCTCGTAATGACGTGCCAGGGCTCGCAGTCTCCGGGGGTCGCGGGCACCAAACGACCGTAAAACGGCACACGCGAGAACGGGAGGAATTTCCGTGGGAGGAAAAACACCGTGTATTATCACCGTCGCACTGCGCTCCGCGTACCCGGAGCACACCCGACTACGCCCGCGACGCTACACTGTGACGCGCGCGAATTAACCTACTATCTATCGAGCGTGTACCGCGGCAAGAGAGAAGGCGCGCGTTGCTTTCTCTCCGACACTCACTGCGCCGGAAGCAGCTGCGCGGGTGCCGCGGCAGTCACGTGCGGCGCGACGTTCCCGTTTGTCGCGGTCGTTGCATCCACGGTCGTCCACCGGCGGCCCGCCGCGCGCATGTTTTCCCGAGGACGATGGACCGCCTCGCAGCGGCCAAGCGGCACATTCAGGCGAAGTCGCGAGACGTCACGGCGCCGATGCGCGACGAACGAAGGTGGGTAGAAGGCGAGAGTCGCGACGGACACCCGCGCTCACGCGCCTTCGAGCGTCCACGCGCGAGCGACGTTACGATAAACAACCGTTACGTCCCTTATTATGCAACGTCACGACAAACACGCGCACATCGATGAACACCATCCGCACCCGCAGCCGGTCGCCGTCGCACTGACGTCGCGCCGGATCACGCTCCCCACCAAGCGCCGCCCTCCCCACCGCGCGCCGATGTCGCGCGCAGGCGCCGTGCGCGTTAACGCATGCCTTTCTCTCTCCGTCCTTCGGAGCCGTATCCGCGGATGCGTGATGATTACGCGTGCGGCTTTCTATACGCGTACGCTTGTTGTGCACGCACGTGGATACAGCGGGGAAACTCCACGGGGAGGACGTGTAAAGAACAGCGGGAAAGATAGGGGCAGCGGTCGATCTTTGGAGGGGCACGCACGAGCGAGCGATCGAGGAGCGAGATCTTGGAAAAGAGAGACCGACACCGGGCAAGCGCCGATTTTCAACCCCCCTACTACTTTCGCGGCGCGATTACGTCGCTGTCGTCTTCCACGTCTTCCTCGTCGTCGTCGATGTAGCGCCGCTAACCTGGAATGAGAAGAAGCAGGATCGTTATTCGGGTCGATCGGGGACACCTTAATTCGCGACGTACCTTTGCGATGTCTCGCGAGACGCTTAACTCGCGAGAGGCACGAACGTCGCGAACTGTCATCTTCGAGGAGTTATTTTCGTAAAGCTATCTCTGAATCATCTTTAAAGATACTGAAACTTGTCGTCTTTTTGTCTCCTCCAATTATATGCACGCTTAAAGCAGAGGGAATTTTACGAGAAATTTCACTCGAGACTTAAATCACTAAACTAGTTGACATGGCGAGAGAGGGAGACTCCGATAAAATCTTGATTAAAATCGTCAACTTTAAATTCTTCCAACGGCGAAACTTATTGCGTAAAATCTCATCGCGCCCCGAACGAATCAGATTTGATAGCCCGATATCTCTGGAAACTCGAAAACCGCAAAGAGTCGGAGTGGACGAAGAAATCCGATTACGATTCGATTTCGCGTAAACGCACGCGCCTGCAAATCCCACGGGACCCCTACACAAATAAGGTTTCATCACGCAGAAAGTTCTGGCTGCGGCGGGATAACGAAATTATCCAAATGCGACTGATTCGTCAGCGAATTTTATGAACGTATCCCGTATGCGTGGTGCGTAGCGACGCCGCCGACGTTGACATTGTTCATTAATTTGGCGAACCAAGTGCACGGGCGGACCAGAGGAGAGGAGAGAAGGGGAGGGCAAGGGGGTGACGGACACCACGGAGGGGGAGGTATGTGTGCATCGAGACTCTAATTCCTACACCAATGATTGGACATGCCTGCACGAGGGAATTCGCCGGGTGTCCACGACGTGTACACGCAATTTCGCGTGGATGTGCGTGTCCGCACGTACATACATGTCCGAGCGTATCGTATTCGCATCCGGCGTTCACGCTCCTTTAATCCTCGATACGCTAAAATGCGGCGATCGACATATATCCGTGATTGCAACTTGCCGCGCGATTTTTTGGAGAAAATTTAAAGAAATCATTTCTCTTTCTTTCTTTCGCTCTTCACAAAAATAACCTTACGTAAAATACCTTACGCTAAATTTCGTATTTCTTTTAATTATATGTAGTTGCATAATTTCTGATTAATAATTGAAATTGAGACGTAATTTACTCACTTCAACTTTGAAATTAACGCATAAATTAATACATGAATAAGTATATTATAATATGCAATTTTAAATTATTTTATATTAAGTTACAAAATATAATATCTCTCATATAACGTATGTTAAGTCCTCGCGTGAATTTTCACGGCGACAGTTTATTTCACAATTAGTATAATCTCCGAGCATATAAATGAAATTATTCGACCATACTGCGTTCCATTTGCTAGGAATGAGCAGTCATCGAAAGAGCCAACGAAAGAATAACATGAGATGCGAATCGCTAGTAAAATATTGTTAAAAAAAAATTCATCGTGTACACTTTACAGCATTGTTCTAAGGCCGTATCTCTATTTTGAAACGTGACTAAAAGCGTATAATGATGTTTTTAATTGTAAAAATGGTCTATCGATTTAATAAATTCTTCTTTAAAATATATATATTCCTGTATCAATTTGAAAAAAAAATATTTCTTTCACCGAAACGATAATAATTTTATGTTTTATAATAGTTCTTTCACTCTCTCTCTTTTTCTTTCACATTATTCAGGACATTTATACAAAATCAAATATAATGGAGTATACGACGAGAATCTAAAGTGATAAGTGGCCATAACAAGAGGAGAAACGATGCATAAAAGATACGTGTGCAACAATATTGTCGTCAATCGTAGCGCGTGTAAGCGCTTCGCTTATGGGACGATTTTAACTTGCACAGCTTATATCATCGTATCTAACGCCTGCTGTATAATGTTATTTGATGTTGTAATATATAATATCATTTTTATTTACACAAATAATATAAAACTTTTTTTATTCAATTGATGATAAATATATCTTTTACGTAAAATATACGTAATAAAATTGTTTTACTTAAAATTTTTTAATGTTTGACGTTTAAATTTATTTTACTGATATATCGTTGGATTTTTATCATAAAATGTAAATGGCATTATTAACATAATAAAAATAGCTATTTAATATTAATATGTCACACATATGTCACATTAAATTTTTTTTTTTTTTAATCGGTACTTTAATATTGCGTTTAGGCGTTATAAGGCATCCACGAGACTAGATGTTAATTCACTGCAAGCTCTTTGCACGCGCTACAAAGGGTTAATCAAAAGGGTGCTTCAATAGCCCCTCGAAGTAGCGTCGTAAGCAACTATAGACAGCATGCTAATGAAAATGAAGATACGAAGATTAAATGCAGCGCGACGAGGTGTCGCGCGAGCTTAAAACATACTCACAAATGCGACATATTTTACGAAATTCATTATTATATCTTAGTGGATCAGCGTGTCACTGGATTACTCGTATGTTGAAGGACATAGCTCTAGGTCTCTAGTATGTTTGGAAAGTGCTCTTGTATTTCTATTTAGAAGAGATATTTTCACAGGATGTCTCAAGAAAGATATGTATTGAAAGAAAATCCTCCTTCATGTATTTTACATTAGATTTGTCGCTAACGAGAATCTGATCTTTAAATTTATTAACATTGTGTAACTACAATTTAAATTGCGTATTAAATTCGCACAAATTTAATCTCGTATTAAAAATTGAACATGACAGATTTTACTAATAAACTAGATATTTGATACGAGCCAAGTATTTTTAAAAAAAGAATAAATCGTAAGAGTTTACATCCTGACTGGGGAAAAATCGATTTGCATCTTCCTAGTACTATATTTCTTTCTTGAGACACCTAGTCTAACAAGTAAGGACGATCGAAAGAGATTTAAAAAGACGAGGGAAATGCAAAAGGATGGGCGCGACAGTTTCGGCGAGAAAAGGCGTAAAAACTCGAGAAGAAGATTCGGGGGTAGAGCTCTACAGAATATACTCTCGCGAAATCGTCCCGCGGGAGTGACTTCGTCCGAGTCGATTTCGCGCGCGTTTAACATCGCGCGAGCGACGATGGAAAAGTGCCGGCAGGCAGGCAGGCAGTGTTGTCTGAGGGATGCCACGAGGGGTGTGGTGAGAGACGAGGGGACAGCAGGGATCGATAACCGAACAACGGGGAAAATCCCGGTGGAAAACGCGCGGGAAGCACCGATGTTGCCGAGGCGAGAGAGAGAAAAAGAGAGGAAGAGAGAGGAAGAGAGAGAGAGAGAGAGAAAGAGAGAGAGAGAGCAAATTCGCGAACGTGAACCAAACTCGATTAAGTTTGACTTCCGAGATGCGTCGTAAGGAGGTAGAAGAACGGCATCTCGGATAAAATTAGTTGAATCTTAAGACGGATTCTCGAACGGCAATACCATCATCATTGTCGTTATGCGTCCCTTCTTTTTCATCCATTCACAGCTACTGCCGGAGACACGTGGAATCTCGCGTGGAATCTTTCTCGGACGGAGATAAAAATTAGCGTAGATAAAGATATCCCCCGCGCGAATCAAGTCCTTCGTAAGAGTACGAAGGGGTAGGAACGCAGTAGGTAGATAAAAAAAAAGAGATATCGTTAACTACAGAGAAGCAACGCAGAAAATTCCTGCGGAAACGAGTGAAAGTCCAGGGAAGAGCAAGGGGACGACGATTCGTGCCTGTGGCAAGCTCTGCATGAGCAAAAGGCTCGGAATAAAACTCAATTAAATGCGGCCAAAGTTCAACTTCCATCAAACGTTAAATAAAAAGGATCTTCCGGATAAAGTTAATTAGCCCACTTAAGTCAGAGTACGTTTGCGCTGGTACGCGTGAGACAAATCTTTCGAGCGGATGAAAAAAAAAAAAACGAAAGACGAGTGCCGCCGCACGAAGCGTTAAGGATAATAGATATCCTGGATCGCCCTATTTTAGTTTTCGAAGTGTCGAGAAGAGGAAGGGCAACTTTCCTCTCGACGAAGTTTCCGGCGGAGAGAAGAAAAAGATATTGGATACGGCGAAACTTCCGATGCGAAAGATACAGCTCGGCAGCTGAGCTCTGATTAAAATCAATTAAAGCCATTAGCACCCAATATTTAAGTTTCTCGTAGTCTTTCGATTCCGTCTCGCGAAATAATAGAAACCGATCGAGATTCCAGTGCTCGCCACCGCGACGTTTTCCCTTTAATAAATCCGATTATACGCGATCGAGCTAAACGAAATATTCTTTAAAACGCTGTAAATATTACATCAATACCGCCATAAACACGACCATTAGTCGGTTGCGCTTAACCGCAAACTTTTTATTGTTCGATGTACATCGTAACGACCGGCGATTTTTATTAAAAAAAAAAAAAAGGAAAGGAAAGAAGGAAAGGACCAAAAATAGAGCAAAAATAGAGCAGTTGACCGAACAACAGAAAAGATCCCGCTAAAAAACGCGAGTGTATAGCTGGAGCGTTTTTCGAGAGCGTGGGGGGTAGAGGGAGGATAGTCGGTATGGTAGAGGGTTGCAGGAAAAGTCGCGGCTACTGTAGCGGGCAGTCGAGCGATCGAAGGGCGTGGAACAAAACCCAATTAAGTACGCCGAACTTCGACTTCCGCAGTAGCGTTACGCGAAAAACATTTTCTGAATAAAACTGAATAAAACGAGTTAGGCCATTTGAGCATGGATCGCGCACGTGCCATCGGCTTACCGCCGTCCAACGTCGAATAAAGAAACAAAAATAGAGAAACCTAAAAAAGATAAAAAAAGGAGAGCGGTTAAAAAAATTATGCGACAAAAAAAGCTCCACGCGAGATCAGCGACTAAACATTCATTCAAATAAGGCTCGTGAAATACATACTTTTCTAAAACGTTAAAAGATGAAATAATAAGAATTGAATAGTAAGAGTAAAAAAACCGTTGCTCTTATAATCGTTAATATTATTAAGGAGATGCTTTAAGATCGTTAAATCGAATTAAATCGCGTAATCGCATTCTGAAAATATTACTCTGTGAGTTTCTTGCGTGATT